CGAGGCGCCGTACTAAAGACAATAGATTTTTCACAAAAAAGCACGGCGCCTCGTCTTGATTCCTTTGTATGTGACTATTGATGCGTAATTCGCAAGTCGGCTATTCTGAGTAAACGATTTATGAATAGAGTTTTCTTTTCGTAAAAATGTTATTAAAATTTAACTTCGGTTCCGGATAAGCAGGACCGACGAGATAAATCCAAGTCTAACACAACTATGTAAAATACCACGTCTAGTAGCGTTAGATATGGACTACAATACCAAAAACGCAGATAAAATCACCGCAAGTGTCAAAAAAAGAAATAATAACAATCCCTAAGTAAACACAACTTCGCCTCAACGCCAATCAACGATCGATACCACGGGAGTTCAATTAAAGCAAAGATAACTTCAACAAACAGACAAATGGTAGCCGGTTTAACAAGGCCAAAGGGACAATTTTTTAAAATATCTGAGTCCGTCGGAAAGAGAAATTTGTGTTTTTGTGTGGTTTAAGTCATTTTTGTAATCAACCTAGATAACAAAGAAACTGTCAATTATAAGCACGCAAAGAAATTTTGTATTAGTATCTATTAGCAACAGATGTGTAGCATGTGTTCATATTATGCAAACCACAAGTTGTAAATTTAATTCAGATGCTGTTTGAACGTCGATATATAAGGAGTGCAAGAAAGAATACAGCCCGTTTGATTGCGAGCTGCGTAGAGCTGGAAAATTCTGCGACAGAGCTTTCGTTGTTTCATTTTAATATTACAGCGGAAATCGTTGCATCGCGACGTCTTTGTTTTGAAGTTTGACAACCAAGGGCGAGCACCTGCACTTAAAAGACAAGTCTAACCGCAATTATGTAACATTGGTACGCGTGGCCGAGTGCCTCCGATTTCCAATTAGAGGTCTAATATTCGAGACTCAGAGGAGCTCAAATTTCTTAAGATTTCTTTCTTTGTCAAAAAGTAAATAAATCCGATCAAATACAGAACAGCGAAGCCGGTAACGGTAAATTAATGAGTAAATTACTTGATGAAAACAGTCAAAATAAATTAATAGTTCTGAACACAAGTAACGCTGGCTCAAGTTTACAGGAAAGTGAGTGACTGAGTGAGTGACAGATTCGTTCCCTTCCAATAACTCTTCGATTGCTTCGCAATCTTCGAGTTAAAAATGATATGATTATGTAAATGACTTTGTTGTAGTTTATGTCTTAGTGTAATTGAACCACGTTAATGAATTTGACTGTATGAAAAAATAGACCCCATGAAACTGATTTATTGACAATTACCTATTGCTCACAAGATAATATTTATATGAACCAGACCAGAAATAAGAATACTACTGTTTTGCCACAGGTAACTCATGCATGCAATTGTACGCGCGCTCGTGCTAGTCACAATGTTTCCATAGCAATGACGTAACTTGTGATGTCATAATCACTAATAAATCGTCGTTTTGTAAGCTTCAATTGCAAGCAACCACATTTCGTGCACACGATTTTATTGCCAAATCGAGAAAAATGTCAAACTTGAGTAGTCACCAAAAGACATTGCTGATAACGTTGGGGTTATCCTTCGTTTTGTTTCTTCCCGTGTGCTTTCATTACGTTGCACCTGAGAAAAGTAAGATGATTTTTTTCTGGATTCCGTTTTTTACATGCAATGTTTACTTTTAGAGCTTTGCAACACTGACTTAGTTGCTGAGTTATTAATATCATGATCAAATGACAATTTAATTATAATAACTTCTTTCTTTCTCCACACAGCAAACGTGTTTCAAATGTACATGGGAAATACACCACAGCAAACAATGCCACATTTCCTTAATGAAATATGGAACAGTTCAGAACAAACTTTTATAGAAATTTTGCTTCCTCCAGGTAAGCAATTCTATATTGGAAATCCCTGTTTTAATTACACATTGCCTCATTCGCTTCTTTTATTTGCAGAAACAGTTCTTTACAACGCTACTTATATTGTGACAATGTTGAATATGAAAAGCTCGCTGAAAGAGCATGAGTTCCAAATAGAAGATGGTAATGCCACTTCTACTCTTGCAGGTACTGTCCGAAAGGAAAATCATGAATGCCGTTCCTTGTGTTTTATTTATTCTCTCTCATTCATTCACTCATTCAGTTGAGATGTTTGTAGAAAGAAACAGCAGCGCAGAGAGGATTAGCATTGTAAACAAATGCCCCGTGAATGAGAGTGAACTTACGGATATTCCAAGTACTGGGTTTTGTCCTTCAGGTATGCTGGTATTCATTGTTGATTGTTCTAATATTACATAAAATGCACGCGGTTTAACGTGTAGTGAGTGGACTCGTTGTAAATCCATTCATTGGGTCTTTTCCTTATTCAGTGGAGACGATGGACATGCTGGAAATGTGTCCAGTTAATGGAGGTGTTCACTTTTCAGAAGATAAACAAGCTGTTCTTTCTGCTCCAGGTATGTTATAAGTTTATTTTACAATGGCGCATTTTAAATTGATAATCGTTTATGAAGTATTTTTTGTTTTTAGCCAAGATGGTTTATGCGGACAACACAACTTGTCCTGTGACTGTTATGACCAGCAAGTGTCCTGTCGACATCGTGTCCATATCAGGTACTCATACTAATACTTTGAAAAAAAGAATTCACGACTATTCGTTCATATCATTAGTAGTAATTAAAAATAATCCATTTATTAATCAAGCTTACATTTCGTCTTTGTAGACAGCAGTTTATGGAGTCCTGTCGCACTAAGTCTGGGTTTAACCGTCAYWGTAGGARTGCCAGGAATCGCCATGTTCACAGCTCATCGACTCTTCCAAATTGACTCAGAAACGGAGTCTTGATTCATTTTACAAACCGTGCATTGCTTCTTCTTCCAAAACCTCTACACATTGTTATTCATAATTACTGGTATTTTATACGTGAAAACATGTTGATCGCAAAGCACTACTGGGAAACTTACTTGCTTAAAAATTTCAAATGTATATAATAAACATATTTATTTTCATAAATGATCACATGTTATTTGTAGTCCTATGCAGCTCTTCACGAATCATCCTTATTGAAATTCACTAATAAAGACCCTTACCTATAGCTATAGAGCGGATTTCGTATGAGTGGGACACCGTTACCGCACGGTTACCGCACAGTTACCGGACCTGGCCTTCACAATTTTGGTGAACCAATGGGGCACTAGAATTTGGTTACAGTACGATTACTGTCACAGTACAGTACCGTCCGTTTCCCACTCATACGAAATCCGCTCTATACATCTAACTCATAACGTACTTGGTAATCAGTACTATTATTACTTTTACTCTATTTGCCCCCCATTGTTCACTTTAGCAGCCATCAAATCCGTCCCTGGCAGTTTTAGAATGTTGAAATTTCAGGAAGAACCGACGAGGTCTGTYCTTTTAAATAACTGTTCTTGTAAGTTAGTTGTAAGAATTTTCCTGGAAACGGGATTTTGAGCTACACTGTTGACAATCTCACAAGGAAATGTGGCGCCCTTCCTTCTTTAAAATAATTTTGGGCCTGGCAAACGTTTTTATGGTCCAAAATGGCTTATATTTAGTTACGAATTTTTTATTTTCCTGGTAAAAATTCCTTTCCTGGAGAGTTCTTTTTTTTCCTGAATCTCTCTCGCTGGCAACCAGTTATGACATACAGCTGGCTGGGACATAAGAACAGATATATTTCTCCCACCCGTCGGTTCCTCCTAAAATTTATCAGTTATTAACGAGCATCGTCTTCAGTCATTCAATAGGTCAGTTTGCGTATGAATTATTAATGAATTTTTGAAAGTTACATCATGTAAAYAACATGGACGAACATAACAATTTTGATTGCCTGCAAACATGTGCACATGAYTTGCTGAAGGCAGAAATTTGTTGTCAGAGAGTAAATAACACAGTTCTTTATAATGCCATGTTCTGGATTTTCTCCTTGGAGGACYAACAATGCCTTGTAATACTTCTGATGTCAAGATGCCAGATGTCATTAGAAATAAGCTCTATTACGTACGAAAATAGTGTCCATGYAGTCTTTTCACTCGTTCTTTTTAGTAGTAGAGTTTTCGAATCAAACGAGGATGATGAAACTTAGCCGGGAGGTGAATGCGATTGTGACGTCATAAATCAAATCAAAATCTGGCATTCAGGAAAAAAGAGTTCAAAAGTTTATCTGTGCTTGGTTTATAGAATTCTAGGATTTCTAGTCATGGAAAAATCACATCTGATCAAGTACAGTTTATTAAATAATATTCAATAAAGAAATCCAATTCCCGTCATAGAGTCATAACACTTGCACCGTGAAATATGATCAAAATAAACAGTAAATATTAGTGTCTATTTATTGACTAATAGTAGATATTACTGAACCAGAACACAGTTCATGAAAACAAAAGGCAATACACAGGAGACTTGACAACTGCCATCTTTATTTCATGTACAATCAAGACAAAAGACACATCTAGATCTAAAATAACCACACAATACACTAGGGAGCGCGATTAACGAATCTTTATTTATTTGCGCTGCTGCCGTAAAATCAAGACAAAAGACACATCTAAAGCTAAAATAACCACACAATACGCAAGGAAACGCGTTTAACGAATCTTTATATATTTGCGCTGCTGTAGAATCAAGACGCAAGACAAATCTAAAGCTAAAATAACCACACAAGACTAAATGAAACGCGTTTGGAATCTTTATTCTCTGCGCCGCAGCAAGATTAAGATAGAAGACATTGTAAGGCTAAATTGAAAATACTGTAACAATATCAAACCCAGTGCGCAAATGAACGTGTTTTCTAACGAGTTTATTATAAGAGCCTAAACTAAATATCAAGACAAGACGCACTGAAATGACCCGCAAAAATCTATAAACAACGTGGTTTCGAACGAATTCTATCGCTCAAAGCTGAGTTATTTGACTAGTCAATATAAAAAAGCGACTTGACAACAACCAGCGGCGACGTTTTATATTTATCCTTTGCTTGAAGCTCAAAATAAAACACAATAAATTTTATTAATCATTTCGGAAATGTTTGTGAGATACGTACCTTTTGAGCATGGGACATTAGTTACCAAATCATTATTTCAAGCAGCACTCGTAACAGTTATAAAGTTAGTTACTATAGCTATCTATTTCACTTTCACCCTATAATCAACTCTTTTTGTCCTTTCAATAAACTCGATTTCCATGAAGCCTACATTTAACACAAGCTCTAGCCCTTCCCGACATCTTTCCTCTTTATTTCTTTCCTTAATTGTGGGTGGGACATTTTTTAACAAATTCCTCCTTCTTCATTAGGTAGCTTTTAATAACGTTGTTTGGCTTCCAAGTCTCTTGTGTATTACCTTTTGTTTTTAAGAATTGTTTTGGTTCAGTGATATCTACTATTTCATACAAATAGTCAGTAAATAAAAACTAATAGTTTCTACTTCTTTGATTTTGTTTCACGGTGCAAGTGTGACGACTCTATGACCATAGCTATATTAAAAAATAACGCGACTGGTTTACAGTGCTTTGACTTGATTGACTTTGCATATGAACAAGAGTAACGTCAAAGGTTATAAAACCACAATTATACATTCATTGACTTGCGACTTATTGGCTGCTGGGCTGGGTGTCAGAGTATTCTCAAGTATTTGAAACCTTGAGATATCAAAAAAGAAAAAAAAAACGCCAGTTTTGTGAATGCATTATGAAAAGGTTAAATAATAAGCAAATAATGACAGATCCTTCAGTTCTATTTTTATACTCCAATTTGAATGTGTAATGTTTATTTCTTTGTGTATCATTAGCAAGTCCATTATCTGATATTCTAGATTACACTGGAATACATCTTTTCTCTATCCCGTAATCGCTCATAACAAATAGACATTTAAATGTGTAACCCTCACATGGGATACAATCTCCAGCAGTCGTACAGAGTTCACGGAAAGTGTTACATTCAATCTCTCCTGGTTTCTAGAATGAAAAGGACATTTCAGTATATTAGGGAAGGTACGTTTATTATCGGGGGGGAGGGCTGGAGAATTCAGAGTAATTTTTCCAAAAAAACGTTTGACCCTCCCCAGTCATTCCAAAACTGAACTTATGACCCTCCCCAAGTATACTGAGAATACCCATGGCCCTCCCCCCATGGTCACATTTAGGCTCGATTCACACAAGAGGATTTTTCTATCAGTTTCGACATGAATTTCGAACATTCAGTGCAAATAAATATATTAAAATATCGCATACTTGTATTGAACAAAAACTACAATGCTTATTTTATTTTTATATGCCAAGTATACAACACATAAACTATGCCGAACGGTAATAAAATTCACAACTTTAAAATATTGAGTGTTTTAGTACCCTGGTCCCAGGAGATTCTAGCAGTTTTTTTGTGTTCATACATGCATTTATTTACACAAATAATTTGACGTATATTAGTCCCGTGTCTACTGTGACATTATTCAAACCGGTGAAAAAATGACTGGAGTAGTTCATACTGGTTAAAAACAAAAACAAAAGAAAATAATGGATTTTGTGTGTAATACTATAAAGTGCAAATAATTTGCGAGTTAGAGTGCTATGATTCTAGTCAGAGTCAGTATTTTCCTCAGTATCGGTAGTCGATTCGGAAAGAAAAAAGGACAGCAGAAACTGCCCGGCAAAGAATACAACGAGAACAGCAGGAATACAACGACATTGACTGGACTTATCTTTACAACTCTGACAGTTTAGCAACGCTTAAAGTAAGCGAACTTAATTTGTATTTGAATCATCACAAGATGACATTCAAAGGAGTCAAAAAGCAAAAAATTGCTATAATAAAAGCGCACATGGGCAGTAACATCCTCGCCTCCATTGTACAGGACACTGAGGCTCACCGAGCCACGGCTCCAACCGTATCAGACTCAGAGAGTGACTTCATTCATCAAAGAATTGGCTCTGAAAGTTCTACTCTGAGTGAGTCAAGTGACTCCTCAGAGGGCAGTTCCTTTAATGAAGTAACGGACGCCCCACCTGATGTTACTTCCTCACGTTATGGACGCAAAAGAACCAGAATCCTTCGAGACAACTTTGTCTCGTGGACTCAAATTGACATTTAACTGACTCAGATTGGTTTGTGACTAGTAAACTTGTAGATAAATTTTCCAAATACACAGGAAATATTGCAATTCCAATTTTATATTATCGAGGTTGAGATAACTGTTTCATACGTAAAATAAAATAATATAACAAAAATATGATCAAATTAAAATGAGTTCTAATTGCTACAATTGTAGGGTGCTACTTAAAAGGATGACCCTCCCCTTGATTAGCTTCAAATGAAATATGTGGCCCTCCCCTTAAGCTTATAAATTTGACTAATGACCCTCCCCTCTGAGGCTCCAGCCCTCCCCCCCCGATAATAAACGTACTTTCCCTTAGTCGGATCATTCAACTAGTTCACAATATTATAGGAGGAGCCGACGGGTACCTGGGAGAAGTATGTCTGTCCTTATGTCCCAGCCAGCTGTAAGTCACAACTGGTTGCTAGCGAGAAATATCTCAGGCAAGGAATACTTTCTAAGAATTTTTGCCAGGAAAATAAAAATTTCCTAACTACAAAAAATGTAAGCCGTTTTTGACCATAAAAACGTTATATAAGGCTTTTTGAAGGAAGGTCGCCACATTTACTTGTGAGATTGTCAACAATGTAGCTCAAATGATCCCTTTCCCAGGATGAAAAGTTCGTACAAGAACATGAGGTTATTTATAACAATG